AGGTTCGTTATCGATTAGGTATCAGTGGGAACATAAAGATAATAGAATTATCTAAATATCAGATCGTCCTAATTGAACATATGATAGGTCTAGATCATGTTGTTCATTGGGAATTGAAGAGGGGAGAACGAGCACACATCAAAAATAGGTATCCATGAAACTTAATAACTAATGTGACGCAGTAGCATCCACAAGGTTATCTATTCGAGGAAGAGGAAAGTTGTTCTTTAGGCAAGTTTGGTTAAAGGTGAAAAAATATATGCATACCCTCCACTTGTCGTTGTTTTTCTGTACAAATACGGGATTGAAGATCCATCTAGGATACTAGGCCTCTCTAATGAATCTATTAGCGAATGTCTAACCTCTTCCTTAAAGGCTGTATAAATTTGGGATCAAGAAGTGGTGATAGCTCGCATTCGGGTCTATGCTGACCATATCTTCATGTTTCCAGGCGAAAATGTCCAAATTCTTGCTTTAGAAACTTTTGAGATTTCTTTTACCTATATTATTAAGTTATTTTTGATCTACAATGACTTGGTAGAATCTTGAGGATCCATTGGGAAACTCTCCAGCTCTTCCACCGAATCTGTTTGTAAATTGAACTCCGTGATACATGGGGCCAACTCATTGTTTACGGCCCTTTCTTCGGGGGTCCTTCCATCTTGAGGGGCTTATGTCATCTCAAAGTCTTCAAGGCTCATAGGTATGTCATTCTTCAAGGGCATCAATCATTTCGGTGTCGACCATCACCATGTTGACCTCATGAAGGTCGCTTTTCACAGAGTGTTAAAGTAATATTCCCTAGCCTCCATTTAGCTTCCTTAACATTAGAAATCCCATTTTCTATGGAAAACTTCATGCATAAGTGGTGTAAGGAGGTGATAGCCAATAGTTATTTCACGAAGGGTGTTCCCAAGACTCCATGGTAGGAAAATCTATTATCTACTACGAAGAACTCCATGTATTGATGAGCCACAAAGGAATGCTTTTCCATTTCAATGGTAAGAGTAATCTTACCTATTGGAAAGATGTTGTGCCTTGTGAATCCATAAAGTGGAAAATTTATGGGGACGAGCTCGCGATTCACTAGCATCTGATCGTAAACGGGTCCAAAGATGTTGTTGACGAAGCTTCGTACTCTGGCATTGTAGGAACCATGAAGTAGTCAGGAACATGGGCATTCTTAAGCTCATAGGAGAACGAGAGATCATCATCGTTGCATAGAGCTCAAAGGACTGACATGGTCCATCCTCGTCCTTCTTGTCAGCTTGATAGCGATATAGCTAAAAGTTCATTGTTCACTCCCTTGCATTATTGGTTAACCACCTCTCACATCTATTTTCGAACGGGGTTGTATTCTATGGTCTATTCCCATGCACTTGTTCATGGGGCATGAATAGAAGGCTCCTACCATGGCCACTTTTTAGGCTCTCCAGTGCTTAACTTGTCGAAAACATTGGAGGGCCTCTTAGGTCTCTGCTCTTGCTCGTATACCGATGGAAAGTTATCCTTTCCACTAAAAGGTCATTCGAGAGTTGGCCATATAAATAATTTTGCGATTCAACTCCTACCTCTCCGTTAATTGGTTGATATCTATTCTATGCCTATGAATTGGGCACTATCACTTTGCATTTTCTCTTCTTCATCTTGTTTTCTCCATTAGGTTTAATATCCTTGGAAGAAGCCAGGTTGGAGTACATTTTGGAGCATCTACACACCTTCTTATGCCTATCATAGAGAAGTTTTGCTCTGTGATATTCCTCATTGATAAGAGTGTAAACCGTCATATTTTCCCCTCTTATTTATTGTTCTCATGTGATTATTTAATGCCAAATTGCACTCATTATCTTTATATTTTAATTTAGGTGGTAATTTGATAGATTTGGCGAAATTTGGAAGAAATAAGTGAAAAAAAGATAAAGTGGAAGAAAATAAAAGTTCAAGGACCAAATTGCAAATACCCAAAACATGACTCGGAAGGCAAAATGAAGATATGAAGATTTGAGAGTGTTAGGCATCCTTTGGATAAGGAAAGAAGCCAAATGGATGAAATATAGTCAGTATTATCACACTTCAACTGCCAGCCGAAAAAGTTCTGCTTCGGATTTCCAGTCTCAGTTTGAGACCCATTTTTGTCATAGTAAACATTCGAATTGGAAAAATTATATTTTCTAGAATATTTGTAGCCCTTTGATTCAGCTTTCCAACGTATCTTGAATTACCTCAATCAGATATCGGGAGAGAAAGATATGACTAAAATACTAAAACCTCTCATGTGGAAATTGTCTAAAGCTATGTGGTCGCATAGCTTAAATTCAATGCAGTCGCATAGAGTACCTCAGCGAATTCTAGGGCCAAGTGTTAATGTTCTATGCGGTCACATCCATTTGTTTTATGCGATTGCATAGAGTATTTTCGAGATGAAAATTCTAGTTTCCGAATTTAAGTCAACCATTTATAGAAACAACTATAAATATATGTTTTGAAACCCTAGAATGTACCAGAACGAATAGAGACGCCTCTATACTACTTTCTCTCATGTTTGACTCAAGAATCTCCATGAAGAATAAAAACTTTGGTGAAACTAGGAAGGAACTCCATTGGAATTGGTGATTTCTCNTATGCGATCGCAACACCTATAACTATGCGATTTCATAGAGTATTTCTGAGGCACGAGTTTGAGTTT